GTGCTCTTTGCGCTCGTTCGATTTTTAGAATGTGTGTTTTACAGGCACCACCCCAAGAAGTAATGCAGTACATAAGTTGCGACTGGCAAAGAGCGAAGTAAACGGATTTTAATACTTTCTCCTGGGCCACATGTCTCAAGGCCTTAAATATTACCATTAATTTGCGTATTCTTGCAGTTAGATGGTCAATGTGATAGTGAAAACTTAATTTGCTGTCAATCATTACGCCTAGGTATTTAGTTGATTCTGCGTTTACAAGCTTCGGGCATAGACAGGTTGTGTCATTGGGATTATCACACAAGTGGGAAACAATTCGATATGCAGGGTCTGGTTTATTGGTGGACTTAATGGAAAAGGAGATGTAATTAGTCTTTGCAACATTGAGAGTTAAAATGTTCTTGTATAACCAACTAGTAACAGTATTCATTCCTCTCTGAGCATTTGAGAAAACCTCATACCATGAGTTACCACTGAAAAGGATGGCCATGTCGTCTGCGAAGGCAATTATTTTTGCATTAGGAATTTCTATTTGACAAAGATCATTGATATAAACAAGGAAGAGAGTTGGACCCAGAATACTTCCCTGAGGAACTCCAAAAGTTACAGGAACTTCTTCGCTAATTATGGTATCGATTTGTACACATTGCGTTCTGTCTGTTAAAAAATCTTGTAGAAGTTTCAACTGGAGGTCTCTAATACCAAGGTATTCAAGTTTTTGAACTAAAATTGGGACAGAGACTGTGTCAAATGCCTTTGCCAAATCCAAAAATATACCTATTGTTTTTTTTTTATTTTCAAAGTCATTAACTATGTGATTTGTTAGTTCAAAAACCGCGTCTGATGTAGATCTATTTGCTCTAAAGCCAAATTGTTTATGTGACAAGAGATTTTTATTTTCCAAGTATTTTACTAATCTATTATTTATAATGCGTTCTAAAATTTTTGAGATAGTGGGAAGAATAGAAATCGGTCTATAGTTACTGACACAGCCCCTGTCTCCGCTTTTATGAATCGGGTGGATTCGCGATTTCTTGTATATCCGTGGGAACACTCCAGTTGAAAGTGATAAATTGCAAATGTACGTTATCGGAGACACCAGAACATCTCTGTTAGCCTTAATAATTTCACTAGAAATTAAATCCAGGCCAACAGAGCAATTACTCTTTAAACCTGTTATAAGATTCCTAACTTCATCCTTATCCGTAGATAAAAGAGTAAAAGAATGACAGCATGACTTTAAAGCAGGGGGTTGAATTGGGGGCTTATTTTTACACAGGTTTTCAGCTAAAGTTCTGCCTACATTTGCAAAATAATGGTTAATACTATTCACCGATGCTTGCGGATTGTTTGTAGCTATCAGCTCCAATGGAATGAAATGATTAGTTTCGTTATCGAGTTTTTGAGTCAACAGGTAAACAATAATGGGATCCTAGGTGATTATGTCAATTCCTAGGTTTTTTATTAAAAATTAAATAATTATTAAATGCAATCATTTAAGCATTCCAGCGTAATGTCGTGAATTTTCTTGATGTTGCTCACTGATACTTGATGCGAAACTGGCAAACTCATTAATATGTTCATATGAGAAGTGAATACAAGTTTCGGGTTATTGTATCGGTTGTTTAAAATGTCCCAATAGATAATATAACTATCCAAGCTTATCTGTACGTGTTGTATCAGCCGCTCCGCCTCTCCCCTGACCTTGTTCTTTGGGCACTGGAAAGGGAGCGTTTGTTATGAATGCATTCCGTAAATAGATCTTTGAACGGAACCCATTGGTGATAATTCCCGTTGAAGATAGGAATATCAAGCTTCGGTGTAAATTGTTCTTGATGAGCTGTTGACCATATTTTCTTGTTGATTGCCTTCTTTGTCACTAAAGCTTCCCTCATGGATGGAAAATTCTTGTTCGTATGCTACGTTAGTACCCTCCAGCTCGCTGTCGAGCTCCCAACGAAGAGAGTCGATAGCGTTTCATCTAACACTCAAGGTCTTTAGAGCATATTTTAATTCCCAGTTATCGGTTAATGTTTAGGCCCAAAAAAGGTAATTTGTACGATATCCAATCACGTTCGACTTCGTGAGTCGCACAATGGCACCAGGTGTCACGCGCATCGAGGGGAAGGGGAGCGGTAGGCAGCTTCCCAGCGTGTGACACTCGTGGCGGAGAGACAAGAGAGAGTAGCTCGCTGGCCGCGATGCGGGGAATCCGCGTATATCGGTTATCGCGGCAGAAGTTCACGCGACCGCTAGGGTCTAGATGGTTAGATTTAGTGCGTGTTACTTCGCTCCGTGGATATGTGAATTTTGCAATATTTAACTTGTTCGTGTGATGCGGAATTACGCACGCGCGCGCGCAGTATATATACGGTCTAGGATTCGAACCGCGCATTCCTTGTTCGAGAGCGTCTCCCGGTTGATTGTCTGGAAATCATGATAATTGTGCCGTCGCGTTAACTGCCCTTTTTTGTGTGTTGGCTGGTTTGTTAGTTTTACGTGTCAACGAGGCGTATTTTGAATTCTTATCGCGGCGTGATGTTTTGGTGTCGAACGAAGGAACTTAGTTGTGTTTAACGCTGAACCGTATGACTCATTAAGAGATCGCGTTAGTTCCCTATTTATAATTTTGTGATAAGTGAATCCGGGACATTGAATGTCGAATTTTGAACTACTGTCCGTACTGTGTCGGGTGATGTGTTCGATTCTACGATGAATGTGGAATTAGGCGAGTTTAAGTTAGTTAAATGTACAATGAAGCTAATAGACTGAAATAGTGACAATGAAGAAAGAAATGGTCCAGCGGTGGAGCCTGCTGGAGCGATGCAGCATTGTGGGGCAGCCTGGAACTCGGCCGCTACTGGTCGCATAAGCTGGTCCAGGTCTCAGACATTTACACATCACTGAACACTACTTGCCATTCACCTTACACCCACTTACGGCCTGACCGAGCCTTGGTGCGATCTTAGAGTCGGAAACAGATAAGTACTATATTTTCACTAGCATTTTCCCATATAGTTTAGTATGATAGAACATTTCCACCAGGGCATTCAGCCCCGTCCTTAGTTGTTCGTCGAGTCTACAGCTATGGGCCCCTGTGTGATCGACCTTTGTCGGGACAGCTAGGGGCATGTACAGTTAACAAATCTAAGTCAATGTTTGGTAACGTTCGCTTAAAAGCTCTAAAGTTGCTACTTTGCTTACGCAACATCTCATCCAGCTTGCTGTTAATACTGCGGTCCACTTGTCGCGGTGTTGCTAACGACGTGGACGGCGGGTGGTTGAAAGTTGATGGTTTTATGGTCGGACCAACTGAAGACAAATCAAGACCCTCTCTCAAGACGTCTTGATTTGTTTACAGTTGCTAAGAAACTTTGTATGTAGTCTTTTGTTTTTGTGTAAAAATCAAGAACTGGTCCGTATTGATTCTGTACAATGTAGGAATGGTTTTCATCACACAACTCACGTACCTAGAGGTGAAGGTTGTGAAATTCTTGCCAGTAAGTATCCAAAGGCTCCAGTCGTTTTTTGATATGAGCAGCAGTCCTACGGTCGGCGCCGCCCTTTTTGAAGTTGCTGAGCAGCTGCTCCATACCAGAAACCATCTGTTGTTGATTTGCTTGTAAGTCTTCCATGATGTTGTTGTTGATAGGTATTTGATAGGTGCTAAGTGAACTGATCACTTCCTGTTTGCGGTCCGTGTGACGCCGAACTTCCAGCGATATATGCGCTTCTCAATCTGCCTGGTGAGACCCGCTTCTGGGAGGCCAGACAAACCGATTTGCTATCACGGAAAAAATTACAATCACACTTCACTCTCGCAGGACCAAAAAGATGTTGTGGTATTCAACACCTTTTGATGTAAATGATACTAAAATACTGTTTATGCACAAAGTGTTTATTATATTGTTATTGAGCACACTGAGCACACACGAGACAATGTTGGCGTCCGTACATGTATTGACTTAAATAAAAACTTTAAACTAAAATGCCTACGCGTACATAATGTGTTCGGTGTAAACTGAACACGAATGGACCGATGATGTTGCCGTTTAGGATCCCAGTCCAAAGGTTTATTTTAAATTGATACTTAGACCTGTCTTTTTTCACCAAATGATGGTTGGTGCCAACTGTGCAGATTGTTTTCTAGTCTTGCCACCAAAAGGAGTAGCAAAGGGTGTAATTTTTTTGAATTATCGAAAATGTCGAATTATCTCGAAAACCGAGGGACTTTTACTAAACATAAAACATATTTTTCTGAACCACCACAACGTCTTCTACGTTGATATTCTGTGAGAACATGGTCCTTCCTTGATCAAGTCAACCCATTCGTGATTTCAAATATGCCTACAGCATACCTAGTATAGGTGTATAGCTTATATCACCAAATCAAATCAAATGTACATATAAAAAGTTATATAAAAATATTTAAATAACGATTTTACATGTATTCTATTATGGAATGTCTTAACTATATCACTATCACTGTAACTATGAAATATGCCAGCTATACAAAATAAATGACAATGGTCCAAGGATAAAGCCTTGGACAACTCCTCAGGATAGTATCTGACAGGCTCTGCATTGGAAGTGATTACGTTACTGATACTGTAATGCGAATTCAGATATTATGATCTACTAATTAAACAACTATAAAACAAATTTGAATACAGATTTTGAAAATCCCTATTATCACATTATCATATTAACATAGTATGTTATCACATTGAAAGGAGTGAAATATTTATGCAGTCAAAGTGAAAGCGAGTGAAAAATCTAAAATTTGTAAGATCGTCGCTGGATATTTTATGTTGTCAGAATGATCTAGCAAAGCAATGGCTAAACTGCGACATTTCATAAGTCTGATTTATTTGAGTAAATTATATATAATATAACTTGATATTCGAATAGCTGTTCAAAAACTATTTTTTAAAATTGTCATATTGATTGTTATAACGTGTATATATGTATTATAGTGTTAAAAACGTGGCGCAGTAACTCACCCAAATAGTCCCGCGTGGGAGTGGCGTGTGTGGCGTACGGGCGATCGAGCGTGGTCGCACGCCACGGCAGTTCGGTACCGTCGCCGTTGAAGTAGAACAGCGAGTGGTCGGTGGGCACGGTGGCGGGTGCGGGTGCAGGGGCGGGAGCGGGTGCTGGGGTGGGGGCGGCGGCGGCGGCGGGGGCGGGGGCGGGCTGAGGCGCGGCGCGGCGCACGTCCGAGCCGATGGGCGGCAGCGCGCCGCGCGCCGCCACCACCGAGCTCCACGACGCGCCCCAGCGCAGCGCGTTGCTGCTCGCTGCACTCCCTGCACCGCCATCTGCTCCACTCCCGGTCGTCGCACGCGTCTCTCCCTCCGCTTCCGGCTCCACGTCGCCTTGCGCCGGCGGTCCAATTGCGGCGATTGACCGCTCGTTCCGCCGTTTTGTATTCTTGTCCTTGCGGCCATGCTTGCCACCTAGCCTTCGTGTGTGCGATATTTCCGGTGATCCGATCACTTTGGACTTTTCGCTGCGTCGAGGCGTGTCACCGTGCTCGCGGCGAGGCCGAGTAACTCGTGGCGATATATTAGCGTCGGGAGTTTTTGTGGGCGGTTCGATAGGAGTTTCCAGTCGATCGTCGTTCGCGTCCGTGGGTGTGTCGCGGTCCACGGTGGTCTCGCTTCCTTCGGGTTCGGAATGCTCCTCGGGCTCGCCCTTGTTGCTGGTCGGTGTGGACGCGTCCGACCCGGTAGACACCGCGTCTTCGTCGCCGCTGTTCGACGGACGCTCCTCGTCGTCGTCGGGTTCGCGGTCCGGTTCGTAGTCGTCGTCGTCGTCGTCGACCGCCGGGGACGGATCGAGTTGTAACTCAAACGGTTCGTCGTCGTCGAGCGGAGAAGTCGCGAGATCTTCGACGTGCGACGGCGGCGGTTCGGCGTCGGCGGAAGTGGAATCGGCGTCCTCGCTGGAGCGGGAGTCGTCGTCGTCCGGGCGGCGCAACATTTCCGCCCGCCAGCGTTCGAAAGCGCGCCGCTCGGCGTGCGGGTCGGGCGCGGGCGGCGTGCGGCGCGGCGCGCGGCGGCGGCGGGCGGGCGGCGGGCGGGGCGGGGTGGGCGCGGGGGCGGCGGCGGGCGAGGGCGCGGGCGCGGGCGCGGGCGGCGGGTCGGCGCGCAGGTCGAGCGGCGCGCGCGGCGCGAGGTGCGGGGCGGCGGCGGCGGCGCGGGCCTGGCGCGCGCGGCGCAGCAGGCGCTCGGCGTCGAGCGCGGCGGCGGCCAGCACGAGCGCGAGCGCGGCGACGGCGAGCAGCGCGGCGGCGGGGCGCAGCAGCGGGTCGAAGGGCGGGCGCGCGGCGGGCGCGCAGCGCGGCAGCAGGCGCGCGGGCGCGGCGGCGGCCAGCGCGAAGTGCGCGCGGCCGCGCTCCCAGCGCAGCTCGAGGCGCGCGGCGACCAGCGCCAGCGTGTAGTCGGGCGCGAAGGCCAGCGAGAGCGCGCGCGACTGGTTGGGCGCGAGCGCGAGCGGCGCGCAGGGCCGCAGCCGGAAGCCGCGCGCCTGGCACGCGCGCCCGGCCACGCGCCACTCGCGCAGGCGCACGCCCACGCGCCCCGTGTTGCGCACCACCACCGTGCGCCGCACCACGCCCAAGGACCCGTCCGCCCCGCCGCACTCCGACACCTGCACCGACCACCGATCACTCCGTTTCGATCCAAATTCCAAATCAAATCGAAATTTCCTTCAAAACGAGATAATTTTTTTTCTAATGGAATGGTTGGTAAAATTCAAGAAAAATTAAACGGCGACAGATGAATCCGTGCCCAAAAACTAATCCCACAGACCAAAATGAAACGCAATCAAATGAAGTTAAAGTAAAAAAACGCTACACAAGTGCAAAATAATGCATTACTCATAAGAATTTGTGATAGCAAAACCCACAATGATTAAACCAAGTACTCAAAAAAAAAACAACTATAAATTCCTCATAAAGGATTAAAACAAATAAAACGGAAATCAAAGGTAATTATATATGTATTATGTATGTATATATATGACATTTAATATTGATTTACACCACTTAATAGAATAAAACGAAAACTTATTTATTGTAGCAAATTAGTACGTTAAAAAAAACAACATAAAAATTACAAACCAACGCCAAATTATTGCACAACTTTAAAATGAAAACAACTTAGATTTTCATTAGACTAAGTAAAAAAAAACCCATGATGAAACAAAAACACTTTCTCCTACTTAAAAAAATTGCTCCAAATTGAAAACAATTGCAGAACGAAATAAAAGACCTTATAATTTTTTTACATTGAAATTTTTATCTTAAATCACAATTTAATTAAAAGTTCAAAACTGCGCACTTAGAACTCTTACATGAAAACAATCTGTATAAGTATTGCAGCTCATACACTGAACAATACACAACGCTACGCCCTCCACGTCGGAGTTGCATACATACCTGGCGATTCAATGCAATCTTATCACCAGTGACGTAGCTATGTAACCAAGGGCCCCGGGACAAAAATGAAATTAGGGCACTAATAATATAGGCAGACAACATAACAGTGGAAGACCACACGGCAGCTGTCGCACGGATGGGCCAGACTGGATGGAGAGACGACCTGGTAAGAATGAATATAATAAATGGCTCCACCACCACCTTGCAGATAACCAGCGTGAAATAGAAGTTTACTTAGCCTTGTAAGTCAGGTGGTCGGAGGCCTAACCGCTCTCCCCCTTAACATGGTAGTGTAATTAAATAAGAAACCGCACCAGAAGGGTACCAGCACCTCTAGTATTGGAGAATCCCAGGCTGAGCATTCACACTAAGCTACCCTACTCTACCTTAGCGCGGGTGCTCAGGCTGCCTCACGTATTCTGGGGAGGGGCAGGGCGAAATTCCGCTCAATAGTAATACTGCTCGTGGCAATAAGACAAAAGTGACCCCTGCCACGCTATCCGTGAATTTATGCAACGTCAGGGGATTTCATTCAAACCTTAACGAAGTCCACTAAGTGCCATCTGAAGACGGTGAAGTCGACCTTGCTCTTTCTAACCGAGACGCAGGTGCCTTCTCCGGTCGATACTTCTCTCCTACCCGGGGTACAAATTAGAACACTTTTGTGGCTCGGGCTGTAATTTGCGTATACCTCCGAGTCTTGGCAGTCTTGAAGGTCAGCGACGAGCATCTCGCGTCTAGAGGTAATGCCGACACAGAGCAACTCATCAACCACATCGAAATCGCTGCAGACTCTGTGCTACAACAGGTCCCATCTGCAGAGATCGTGATCCTTGGTGATTTTAACGGCCACCACGTTGCATGACTTGGTTCTCGTTTAACCGATCATGCGGGAAGATCTGTTTATGATTTTGCCTTGGCATATGATCTGATCTTATCCGACATTATTCCGATGATATCCCGGACGTCAGTCTGAGCGAGATTAGAATGGCTCTCCAGCACCTTAAAAACGGCAAGGCCCCAGGCGAGGATGGAATTACAGCGGAGCTTCTGAAAACGGGTGGAAAACCGGTACTTGAAGTCCTTCAGAAGATCTTTAATTCCGTCCTCCAATGTGGCATTACACCGGAGGCGTGGAGCAGAAGTGCGGTGGTCTTGTTCTTCAAGAAAGGCGACAACGCTCTCTTGAAGAACAACAGACCGATTTCCCTTCTGAGCCCCGTCTACGTGCTGTTTTCGAAAGTCATTACGAATCGTCTCGCGCGCAGACTTGACGACTTCCAGCCTCCCGAACAAGCCGGTTTCCGAAAAGGCTTTAGCACCATAGACCACATACATACCCTTCGGCAAATTGTACAGAAGTCCGAGGAGTACAATTTGCCACTATGTCTGGCGTATGTGGGCAATGAGAAAGCCTTTGATTCCGTCGAAATTTGGGCGGTGCTGCAGTCCCTTCAGCGATACCAAGTTGACTGTCGGTATATCGAAGTGTTGAAGTGCTTGTACAGTAGGGCTACGATGGCTATCCGAGTACAGAACCAGAGTACGAAACCTATCCAATTGCAGAGAGGTGTAAGACAGGGTGACGTCATATCCCCGAAACTCTTTACCGCTGCATTGGAAGATGTTTTCAAGCTTCTGGACTGGAAAGGATACGGTATCAACATCAATGGCGAGTACATCACTCACCTTCGATTTGCCGACGATATAGTCCTTATGGCAGAATCGCTGAAGGACCTAAGCACTATGCTCAATGACCTCAATAGTGTTTCCCAACGGATAGGTCTTAAGATGAACATGGACGAAACAAAGATCATGTTTAATGTCCATGTCACACCTATGCCGGTAGTTGTTGGGAACACTAAGCTCGAAGTTGTTGACGAGTATGTTTACCTGGGACAAATAGTCCGACTAGGTAAGTCCAACTTCGACCGAGAGGTCAATCGACGGATTCAACTCGGTTGGGCAGCGTTCGGGAAATTACGGCACATCTTCTCGTCAGGTATACCTCAAAACTTGAAAACGAGACTGTACACCCAGTGCGTGTTGCCAGTGATAACATACGGAACTGAGACGTAGTCCTTCACTGCTGGCCGGATGAGGAAGCTCAAGGTCGCTCAGCGAGCTATGGAGAGGGCAATGCTCGGAGTTTCTCTGCGTGATAAACTCAGAAATGAGGATATCCGCAGTAGAACCAGAGTGACCGACATAGCCCAACGGATTAGTAAGCTGAAGTGGCAATGGGCCGGCCATATAGCTCGAAGAACCGACAACCGATGGGGAAGAAAGGTTCTCGAGTGGCAGCCTCGTACCGGCAGGCGAAGTGTAGGGCGTCCCCCCACTAGATGGAGTGACGACCTGGTAAGATATGCAGGAAGTCGATGGATCCAGGTGGCTCAGGACCGTGCTTTGTGGCATTCTTTGGGGGAGGCCTATGTTCAGCAGTGGACTTGTGAAGGGCTGTAATGATGAATGATGATGATATGATCTGACACAAATGGTTACTTCGCCTATGCGGATTCTAGATATGGAGGATTGTGAACCTTCCCCGTTGGACCTTCTGCTGATTTCTCATTCGGACGGATATCAGGTCTCCCTCGACGGCCCCCTTGGCTCATTAAACCATTGTCTGATCCGGACTATGATGCCACTCACACTCCCATCGCGGTTGCGTTCTGCAGATCGCCGCCATGTTTAGCACTATAAGTTGGCCGATTGGTCAGAATGAGGTCTTTATTTGCATCCTTCCCTTGAGGACAGGGGCGGGTATGCTTCTCGCCAGATTATCCCAGCGTGATTCTGTCGTTGATATGGTACTTTAGGGAATGGAACTCTTTATTATATCATCTGTGGTGTCTGGTTTGGTCGCTCCTGTAAAATTGCATCGCTCTATAATAGGAGTGCTTCACCAGCGCTGTTAAAAAGAAGTATGATTTCGCCTTCAGGTCGATAGGATACGGTTTACATAGTGCATAGCACTACTCTCCCTAAACGTCAAGTCGATTGGGTCTGATGGAGTTCCTCCCATTGTGCTGAAGACGTGTGCTCCATAGTTGGCACTTGTCGTAACGTGTCTTTTCTAAAACTCTTTCTCTTTAGGTGTAGTCCCGAACTCAAAGAAGACAGCTTTAGTTCACCAGATCCCTAAAAAATGTGCTCAGACCTATCCAACTTGTTATCCAAAATAACGAAAACCATTGTAACGGACATCTCCTGAGGTTGAAGATCACTAAGTGAAAAGTGACCGCCAGTACGATTTTTGTCGTGGTTGCTCAGCTGATGATCTTTGGGCTTACCTGACTCATAGATTGTCGGAGGCAGGCCTTCGATCGGGTTTGACACAAAGCGCTTCTTTCGAAGCTCCCTTCCTATGGGATTTCCGAGAAATAGTGCACTGCATCGGCAGTTTTCTTGCAGATTGGAGCAACAAAGTTGTATTAGAAGGTGCATGCTCCATTTACAAGCATAATTATGCCGGTGTTCCACAAGGCTACGTTCTATTACCTACGCTGTTTCTTCTCAGCATTCGTCATTACAGCCCTTCACAAGTCCCCTGCTGAACATAGGCCTCCCTCAAGGAATGCTACAAAGCACGGTCCTGAGCCACCTGCATCCATCGCCTTCCTGCATATCTTACCAGGTCGTCACTAAATCTAGTGGGGGGACGACCTACACTTCGTCCGCCGGTACGAGGCCGCCACTCGAGAACCTTTTTCCCCATCGGCTGTCGGTTCTTCGAGCAATATGGCCGGCCCTTTGCCATTTCAGCTTACTAATCCGTTGGAATATGTCGGTCACTCTAGTTCTACTGATATCCTCATTTCTATGTTTATCACGCAGGGAATCTCCGAGCATAGCGCTCTCTATAGCTCGCTGAGCGACCTTGAGCTTCCTCATCAGACCAGCAGTGAAGGACCACGTCTCAGTACCATAGGTCATCACTGGCAACATGCACTGGTTGTACAGTCTTGTTTTCAAGTTTTGAGGTATACCTGACGAGATGTGCCGTAATTTCCCGAACGCTGCCCAACCGACTTGAATCCGTCGATTGACCTCTCGGACGAAGTTGGACTTACCTAGTCGGACTATTTGTCCCAGGTAAACATACTCGTCAACAACTTCGAGCTTAGTGCTCCCAACAACTATCGGCATAGGTGTGACATGGACATTAACCATGATCTTTGTTTCGTCCATGTTCATCTTAAGATTTATCCGTTGGCAAACACTATTGAGGTCATTGAGCATAGTGCTTAGGCCCTCCAGCGATTCTGCCATAAGGACTATATCGTCGGCAAATCGAAGGTGAGTGATGTACTCGCCAATGATATTAATATCGTATCCTTTCCAGTCCAGAAGCTTGAAAACGTCTTCCAATGCAGCGGTGAAGAGATTCGGGGATATTACATCACCCTGTCTTACACCTCTCTGCAATTGGATAGGTCATCGTAGCTCTACTGTACAAGCACTTCAGCACTTCGATATATCGACAGTCAACTTGGCACCGCTGAAGGGACTGCAGCACCGCCCAAATTTCGACGGAATCAAAGGCTTTCTCATAGGCCACATACGCCAGACATAGTGGCAAATTGTACTCCTCGGACTTTTGTACAATTTGCCGAAGGGTATGTATGTGGTCTATGGTGGAAAAGCCTTTTCAGAAACCGGCTTGTTCGTGAGGCTGGAAGTCGTCAAGTCTGCGCGCGAGACGATTCGTAATGACTCGAAAACAGCACGTAGACGCGGCTCAGAAGGAAAATCGGTCTGTAGTTCTTCAAGAGAGCGTTGTCACCTTTCTTGAAGAATAAGACCACCGCACTTCTGCTCCACGCCTCCGGTGTAGTGCCACCATGGAGGACGGAATTAAAGAGCTTCTGAAGGACTTCAAGTACCGGTTTTCCACCCGCTATCAGAGGCTCCGCTGTAATTCCATCCTCGCCTGGGGCCTTGCCGTTTTTAAGGTGCTGGAGAGCCATTCTAATCTCGCTCAGACTGACGTCCGGGATATCATCGGAATAGTGTCGGATAAGACTCACTCTTGGATCGTTACTCACACTTACGTGTGGCTCCAACGATGATGTGTAAAGCTGCCCATAGAACCTCTCAATCTCACTCAAAATCTCAGGTGTCCCGGAAACGACGCTGCCACACTCGGTCTTCAGCTTCGACAGTTGGCTCTTTCTGGCAGACCGATCTCTAGCAAAGAATTTGGAGCGCCCTGGTTCGGCTCGATCGCTTCTTTAATACGAGCAGTATTAAAGTTGCGTAAGTCTCGCCGCATGCATTTGGAGATCTGTTTGTTCAGTTGCCTGTATGCTGTCAAATCTACTGAAGACTGCAGCTTCATATCCCGTATAACAGCCATGAGATTAAGAGTGTGATCGGAGTTTTTGTGTTCTTCTGCGGCGTGTCTTGCAAAACTTAGCTCCAACCACATGGACAGTTTCCACGAGCTTGTCATTAATATCGTCCACTGCATTGCAATCTTCTAGGCACTGAAAACGGTTTCGTAGCTCGAGCTGAAAGGTTTCGGGACTTTGGATTAGAGCACGAGGGGGACGGAGCGTTGACTTCATTAGACGTGACCTCTCCAACTTAATGTTTAGGTTCAGTGTGCCTCTAACCATTCGGTGATCGCTGCCGGTTTTCACCCTCGCGATCACGGAGACATCACTGAACAGTTGTCGTCTGGTTGTCATAATGAAGTCAATCTTATTTTTTGTCGAACCATCGGGGCTCCACCAGGTCTTCCTGTGGGGCTGCTTCTGGAAGAAAGAGTTCATCATAAAGAGTCACTCTTTCTCCATGAAGTCGGCCAGCTGCTGGCCCCTTGGGTTCCGTTGCCCTATTCCGAAATTCCCTACTTTCAGCTCACCGTTCTCTCTTGTGCCTATTTTTGCATTGAAGTCTCCCATTAACACCGTATAGTGGGTTTTGGAGGAATGCATGGCTCTAGAGATATCCTCATACATTTCCTCCACCTCCTCATCGGGGTGTGCCGAGGTTGGTGTGTAAACCTGTATGACCATCAGCGAATACCGTTTGGTGATTCTGCGCTAGCTCAGTCTCTTCTTTTACCGATCCTTGACTACGCGGACACTTGTAATGTTGACCTAATAGTCGATCAACTTAGTAAACTTGAGCGGCTTCAAAATTATTGCATAACCTAAATACTTTGTTATAAAACTTAGTTGAAATTTACTTCACTCTCCAAGTACCTACTTACACACCTACACTCGTCTTTGTAATTAAAATATTTTAAGTTATAATAGCACAAAATACTGAAATTAAAACTTTGTTTACAAGATTTTCAACTAAGTAGATTACGATCATGTTTCTGTTAGGAATCGTATTTCGGGTTTATTTGTTGCTTACGCTATCTAACTTATACGAACCAAGCATCGCGATTCCCGACGAATGGCCTTGCAAGTTGCATGCGTTGTCACAGAACTCACATAGTAGATAATGGTCGATCATAGTCAGAATGGGTACTTTACCTAAGTAACTTACCATTTCACAATGTATTTTTTTTACTCTTTATTAACAGCCCTTAGCAACCACGGAAAGTCCGTTGTGACGTAGTAAGGAGAAAAGATGCAAAGTAATACGGACACTCGCGCGCAGCGATAAAGTTTTATTTAGCTTGCGTGCGCGATTTATCTGATTAATAATAACTATGTAGGCTATTAAAACGTCGGCAAGCAGTCAATATCAAAAGAGTGCAACTTCTGTACTTATTTATTCTGTGCTATAATGTCAACTGTCAAAATGGCGTCGATGAAGCAGCGCCTTTGTGATCCTTTATTATTTGATTGACTGGTGAAGAACTATCGTATCATAGAATCATCTACGCAAACAAGGATGTAGTTATAATAAAGTAACCACATTAACCGAATGACCATATTACCCTCATGTACTATAGTAGGCTTAATATTATTCTTATTCAGTTTAATGTATAGCAAGAAGGCATTTTCGACGTAGACACAAGGTATAGGCATGAAATTTCTGATATCAGTATCAGTATTACTTGTGTCCAACAAAAGGAACAGGAAGACCTTTCGATGTTAGAGGTAAATTATGCTAGATCCATATTAATCAGAGACTCAAAGAGGCACAGTTACAGATCCTAACAAGGTACATATGCCGATTTGTATACTTTGCAACTAATAAAATAAAAATTCACTTATATGCTGATTGAACTATAACCGTGACTGTGACCGTATTTACCGTGTATTGACGGTGTAAGAATATCCACTACCCCATATCATCCCGCGGGTTTCGTAAGAGTAGGTGGCAGACGGAAACAAATTAGGAGATGGCCGGTAGCGTCTTTCTAATAATGACCAAATATAAAAAAAACTGCGGCTGCAACCCGCTTGCCAAGCGTGGCAACTATAGCAAATACCTTCCCTATGAGGCAATCTATGTGGGAGGCCTACGTTCAGCAGTGGACTTTAATAGGCTGTAACGGTGAAGTATGACGCTATGGTTATGACGCATTACCTCAAATGATATCGGAACCGTCGAGCCAGGTTTTCGATCCGCCAACTCGAAACTGGGATAAGCTCCTTCACCCATCAAAAGTATGCCTTCCAAGATGGTTAGATTGTTTCTGTAATAAAAGAAAGATTCAATAAAAATTGCTGCTCGGTTGTCATTTAAGGTATTTACATTAGGTATGTAACTGATATTAGTCAACAGGAGCTAATTTGAGTACATATTAACATTTTTTATAGAATAAGGGTGATAAACACAGTAGCATTAAGCTGCTGTTTCGAGCTGGCATTCTATGAGATCGTAGATCTACCCTGGTCGTGCCCATTCGTGCTACAATCATAATATAGTTGCAGCGTGGCTCTACTATGCTTTACTGTCGATTTGACAATGTTTTTCTGATAATAATCGGCACAACATGACGTTTTTTTTTTATAGGATAGGGTGACAAACGAGCACACAGTCCACCTGATGGTAAGTGGTTGCTGCGGCCCATAGACATCTACATCTATCCTCGTTTGCGAATCAAAATGCAGATGCGTTGTCACCCGTGAGGACTAAGATGGAATGCCTCGTTTCCAGTAAAAAGGGTCTCCGGTTCTCTACACTTACCATACGAAACACAGCAGTTTTAAGCTGCTATTTTACGCTGGTATTCTGTGAGAGCGTGGTCCTACCCCGGCCGAGCCGACCCAGTCGTACTACAACTATACTACTAATATAGCTGCAGCATGGCTCTACCACGTAAAAGATATGTTAGTGATGCTAATTAATATTAGATCAGTGTATGGAGATTTTATCAGTAAACGGAAATAGGTTCACTTCTAATTATCAGTGTCGATGAGACTTATCTGCTGGATGTATCTAGTTGGATCCAAGCGTTTATTTGATTGTTTTTATAATTCAATGTAATATTAATATACTATGGGAGAGGAAGGGAGTAACATTGACTTTAAAAATAGATAAATTATAATATAAGGGAGTTGAGGAACGGAGGATTTGGGATATATATATTCACCCGCTTTTGTCTGACTCACTCAGATACTAAGTGGTGAGATGTGTTTGTTGCTATATCTTGTCCACCTCTTTATCTTTTTCTAATGCTAAGTAGTAGTGCATATACAGTTGTGTTTCGGTTTACTTGAATAGTATTATATTTTATTATTCAGGGGTTTGAAGTTTACTGATGCGTACGGGCTGCAGTAGCTATTATAAGTTTGTATACCATCTCATTATTGCAAAAAGTTGTCATAATACCTTGTTTTCTTATCAATTATTAATTATATCCAAATCAAAAAGATCAATTTGAAGATACGTAGAATTATATCAGTTACATACGAGCGCAGCGGATAAATAGCGGCACGAGTCGTGAGTATAATCTCTATCCGCGCATTTCTCGAGGTTTTTTAGAGACGAAGAAGAGTGGGGGGAAGGACGACGATATTATAGGATGCGGGTTCACGGTATTTTAAAGTTTCAGTTGCGATGCAGCTAGCGTGTGGAGGGCGTGGAGGGTGCGGAGAGAGGCACCTGAGGTAGAGGTATGCGGCGAGCAGCGCGGGCTCGGGCGGCGTGAAGCTCAGCGTCAGCTCCAGCTCGGCGCCCGGCTCCAACAGCAGCAGCGGCGCGGCGGTGGCAGGGGCGGCGGTGGCAGTGGCGGCGGTGGCGGTTGCAGCGGTGGCAGCGGTGGCAGGCCACTCGCGCACGTGGCCGCGCGCCGCGCGCCAGCCTGTCAGCGCGAAGGCGTGCGGCGCCCACACGCAGCTTGCGTTCTCACACCGCGCGGACCCGCCCGCACTGTTGCACGCACAAATAACACGTCCACCTTGTATACACATTGTTTATGAACGTTGGAACATTCGTCTGAATGTTTACACTACAATAATTATAAATAATGAGAATAATATTAAAAGATTAAAGTTAACCTATATACATTCTACTGCAATTTTTATTTTTATAGAAGAGGGGGCAAACGAGCAATCGGCTCACCTAATGGTAAGTGACTACCGCCGCCCATGAACAATCGCAACACCAGGGACATTGCAGATGCGTTGCCGGCCTTTAAGAAAGGTGTAAGCTCTTTTCTTGAAGGTCCCTAAGCCGTATCGGTCCGGAAAAATCGTCGGTGGTAAACAATTCCACAGAGAAGTTGTACGAGGAAGAAAACTTCATGTAAAATGCACAGTCGTGGACCGCCAAACATCCAGATGGTGTTGATAGTATCGTGAAATTTGGCGGCTAGAATTAATTCGAACAATTCCTCAGAGCACTCCCCGTGGTAAATTCGATAGAAAATGCAAAGGGGTGCAACATCCCTACGCAGTGCCAGTGTATCGAGCCGATCAGAAAGAACTCGGTCGTCGACGATTCGAACCGCTCTGCGCTGGATGCGGTCAAGTGAAAGGAGCTGGCCAACTGGCAAAGGAGCCCAGAGATGAGAACAGTATTCCATGTGAGGTCGAACTTGCGCTTTGTAAAGTTGCAAGCGATGTGCCGGCATGAAATACTGTCTTGCTCTGCTGAGCACGCCAAGATTTTTAGAGGCCAATTTGGCCTTCCCTTCCAAGTGACCACAAAACTGTACACTATTCGATATGTCGACGCCAAGGATTCCGATGCTAGCTGAGGCAGTAAGTGGAGTGCCTTGAAACTGAGGAGATACGACAAAGGCGTTCTTTTTAGCGGTAAACGCGTAAGCTTGTGTCGTGTGGGGATTGAACTGGACTAGATTTAGTGAACCCCAAACCGAGACTTTGTTTAGCAAAGACTAGACTTCAGACTCAAGTTTGTCGCGGTACTCGGCGACGTTTTCCCGAGAAATATTGCCACGGCCGGTATATAGGGCATCACCAGTGCTGTCGTCTGCATAGCAATGAATGTTACCAGTTTGGAACATATCATTGATATGCAGAAGAAACAGCGTTGGTGATAACAAGCAGCCTTGTCGAACACCAGCGTTGATAGGTTTGAAATCAGAGCATGCACCGTCTACTACGACCTTGATGCTCCGATCAGCAAGGACACTGGTGATCCATTTGCACAATTTCTCGGGAAGCCCATAGGAAGGAAGTTTCGAAAAAACGACGCTATGTGCCAGACCTGATCGAAGGCCTTCGCTATTTCCAAACTAACGGTCAATGCCTCCCTTGAACTCTACTGCCTCCGCCCATCTATGAGTCAGGTAGACCAGACGATCACCAGCTGATCGACCCCGACGAAAATCGTACTGGCGGTCTCTAATTTGCTGGTGATCCTCAAGGTACCTCATGAGCTGGCAGTTTATAATGAAGTCCATTATTTTGGATAACAAGGAGGTGATGGCGATAGGCCTGTAGTTGGACGGGTCTGAGCGGTCGCCTTTTTTAGGGATCAAGTGGACCAAAGCTGTCTTCCATGAATTCGAGATTACACCTTGAAAGTAGGAGTACTGGAAAAGACGCGTTATGACCGGTGCCAACTCCGAAGCACATCTCTTCAGCACAATGGGATGAACTCCATCAGGCCCACTCGACTAGCTGATGTCCAAGGAGAAGAGGGCTTTGCGAACCGAGCGCTATGTGAGCCGCACATCTTGCATGGAGCACTCACACCGCGGGTTGGTCGGCGGTGCGTTCCCCCTGTCATCTAGAGTCGAGTTGGACACAAAAAGAGAGCTTAACAAATCGGCTTTCTCCTTTGCGGCATGGGCCAGTGAGTCGTCCTCTCTGTTCAGAGCCCGAGAATGCCCGGTGATGCTATTTTACCAATTCGACCAAACCATGGCTGGAATCTGCCTCCGATGGGCACCACAGAGGATGGAATAAAAAGTTCCATACCCTGAAGTACCACATCAGCAACAGAATCGGCAACAACGCTGGGATCTTCTGGCGAGAAGCAAACCTGCCTCCAAAGGGTAGGATGCAAAAAAAGACCGCATCCCGTCCCAATCGCAATTGAAGCGTCAGTAGCCTAATGCCCTGCCATTAGGCTACTGACGCTTCAAGCGGACCACGAACTCGAAAGGTCGTGGGTTCGAATCCACCATTCGACTACTGTCATGAACCACTTCTAACATAAGCATTTTAAGCTTACCAGAAGTGGTTAAAGGGAATATTAGTAATGTTTAATAGCATTACTAGTATTCAAAAAAATCGGCCGACCTATAGTGCCAAACACGATGGCAAGCTGCAGATCGCAACTACGAGGCACCGTACTCTGGATCAGACAATGGTCCGAAGAGCCCAGACGGGTATCGACGGAGACCTGATATCCGTCCGGATGAGAGGTCAGCAGAAAGTCCAACAGGGAAGGTACATGATCCTCCACATCTGGGATCCGCGTAAGCGAAGTAACCAGTTGTATTAGGCCAAGGCAAAGTCATAGACAGATCTACCCGCATGATCGGTTAAACGAGAACCAAGTGATTCAGCGTGGTGGGCGTTAAAATCACCTAGTATCAAGATCTCTGCGGATGGAACCTGTTGTAGCAAGGAGTCTGCAGCCATTTGGACGTGGTCGATGAGTCGGTCTGTGTCGGCATTACCGCTATGGGACCTATAGAAGTACCCGTAGACGCGGGGATGGTCGTCGCTGTCTACGCGCAGCCATAAGATGGACAGGTCCAAACAGACAGATAGACTGCCGAGGCGTCGGAAACACCTGAGTCTCAAAAAAGGCTTGCTGTTTTTAACCGATACTCTGCAGGAGCGGAATTTTGCCCCCCCCCCCCCCCCATGGAATATGCGGGGCAGCTTGAGCAGCCACACTCAGGTGTGTTTGGTAGTTTGGTCGTGGATGCTCAACGAGGGATTCTTCAGGGGTGCTGGTACCCTCCAGGGGTTCCGCTACCATGTTGATGGGGGGGGGGGGGATTGGATGGATGCAGGATTTTCTCATTTCTAAGAATGTTATTAAATATATAAATATCCTCGACGGAAACTTTTTTATTCCTTGAAAGAGGAGCAGGATTTTTATGTTTCCCATTGCTATTGACCATATATACTAGAATTATTTCGTCCGTGAAGTTTGGGTCACAAATCATCGGAGTATTTCGCTCTCTCTCCCACTCACGGGTCTTAGGGGGCGAGCATAGTGATACGCATTATTTTTTTCGATAAACGTTATCGCTAGTGTATTTAGTTTTGTCATTATGTGGGTTAGTGAAAAAATTAAAAAAAATAGTAAAAACAACGTATTTATTAAAATAAGAATAATAATGATTTAAAATTAATTATTAATTAGGTATCCATGTATTAAAAAAACTATAAGTACAAATGTTTGGAATGTAACAAGTTATATTAAAAATAAATATAAATATAAAGATAATAACTTATATCTAAAATTAAATCTATATCTATTTACATTAAAATTCTAATTCAGAATCATCAGAGTCATAGTCATGAATTACGATCTTCTGCCAGATGAGATTTCTTCAAGTCTTCCCCTTGGAGTTTTTCTGCATGCTTCACACAACCTTTCCAGTTCTTTTGCGAAACGATTGAAATTGCTTCATGCTGTAACACTTCGACGTCTGCAATTTTAAAAGTGCTGTTTTTGGTGGCAACTTCATTTTTTGCTTGAGCCCATGCCAACTCAATTGGGTTATATTGGCAATGGTAAGGTAGTAAGCGAATCACTTCGTGTCCTGACTCCAAAGCTAACTGATCCAATTTGTATATTTTTTTCTGGTCGGTTCCGTTGCACCTGTAAATATAATGTTGTTTGCATATTCAACTAAATACTTAAAAGAAAACAAATGTATTGCAAACTTTAAATAATAAAATCTGAAATACCTTTTGTAATAGTTCCAGCTTGAGCTCACTATTACTAAACTCAATCCCGTGTTGGCGGAGCCACTCCTGAATTTCACTCTGTTTGTTAGCTGATGTCGGTGCCCGATTTATTTGCTGGGAGTGGTAGGGTGCGTTGTCCATTATGATGACTGATGTCGTTTTGGTACAAAACAAAGGAGTAGCCATTGTGTCACTAAAGAAATTCAGAGCGAATGCGCAAAAACAAATTTCTCTTCGATATATGTACTAAATTATCATTGCACTAATTTGCAGGTATTAGGCGGAGGTAATAATGGAAAACAAATTACTCATAACATAACAATGTCGCGCCACCCTTTTTATACCGCACCGCCGCCGTGTACCTGCCTTCGATGATACATTTGTTGTTATCGATAATGGCGTTGCGCTAAAATAATTTTACTATAGTAAATCAGCACTTAAAAGTTTTAATTAACAATTTGATCGGTACCGGTGAGGATTGAACCTGGAATGCTCTCGCTATGAAACTTGGCGATTAGTGCTTAGTTTTTATAAGTGAATGCAGTAGCCCACGGACATGTACATTGTTACCCTCGATTAAGAATTAAAATACAGATGCGTTGTCACCTTTGAGAATTAACCTCATTTTCAGTAAAAAGGGCCTCCGGTTTTCTACTCATTATACGAAACGACATTAAGCTGCGTTTTACACTGGTATTTTATTAGAGCGTGTTACTAGAGCGGTGGAGCCGAGCCATTCGTTATTTACACGATTATGACGAGCGCACGCCAGGTACAAGCAGGTAACAACTTGCTGCTCAATGCGAAGAAAACGAAATGTGTAAAGTTTACTATGCCTAATGTAAGACAGATAGATACTCATATTACAATGAACGATGAATCTGTTCAAATAGTCGATACCACAGTTTTTCTTGGAATGACTCTAGATAGTAAACTGCAATGGGGTTCTCATATCTCAGCCTTGGTAGGAAGACTTAGCTCAGCTGCCTATGCGGTTAGAAAAATAAGGTTACTGACTGATGAGAAAACGGCACGATTAGTTTATTTTAGCTACTTTCATAGCGTTATGTCGTATGGTCTGATGCTGTGGGGCTCAGCTGCCGATATTGAGACTATTTTCATATTACAGAAACGAGCGATACGAGCTATATATAGCTTCAGACCCCGCGACTCGCTGAGAGAACTATTTAAAGAAATTAATATTTTAACAGTTGCTTGCCAATACATTTACGATAATGTCTTATATGTACGCAAGAACCTAGATCTCTTCAAAAAAAACTCTGACGTACACAATTATAATACGAGAAATAAAAATAAACTTGTAGTGCCAAAACTCAGACTTCATAAGGTTGGTAATTCGTTTGTAGGTAACAGTATAAAAATGTTTAATAAAATTCCTCAGGACCTGGTTGACATGCCACTAAATAAGTTTAAAATAGAAGTAAAAAAGTGTTTAATGAAAAAAGGATATTATAAAGTAGACGAATACCTCAAAGATAAAAATCCATGGTCTTCCTAATCTTTTTGCTTGCTCGCACAATATAAATCAGTTAAAAAAAAAAACACATTGTTTAAAAAAAGAAAGAAACGTTATATAAAACTGTTCACTGAGTTTATTTAATAGTAATTTTAAACCAACTTACCGAACCAGCGAAAGAATCATTTTCAAATGATTTATTTACTTTATTTAATATTATATTAATTGCTTCTTGACATGATTGTAAAATTTTGACGTTCATATGTGCTCTTTATGTGCCTAAACTGAATAAACGAAATTGATTGATTGATTGATTGTATAAGCGTACTAACTCGGGCGGCAGGTGCAGGTCGTGCGCGAGCACCGGCTGCAGCAGCAGCGCGTGCGAGCGCGACGGGTTGCGCGCCAGCACGCGCAGCTTGCGCGCCACGCCCACGGCGGACGGCGCGCCCGCCGCGCCCCCCGCACCGCCGGCGCCCCCCACCGCGCCCGCACCCGCCGCGCCCAGCCGCGGCCAGCGCAGCCGCACCGCGCCGCTCACCGCCGTCTGCAGCACCTGCACACAACCACAAACTCGCTCAAATACACGCCTCACACAATCACCCCTAATCACTTTACACTCACCAGATGCCGCTAGTTGGGAGTGACGTCAACTTACTTGTTATACAATGTCATTATAATTGAGGAAGTGCGTTTTATATACAAGTTTATCAGTTACTCAAGCGTTAACGGTCAGGTAACGCAAGCGGCAGAGGCGCGCGCATAACGGCACCACCTCCACATCCAGCGACTCCACACTACTTGCTTAGGTGTGTGTGTGTGTGTGTGTGTGTGTGTGTGTGTGTGTGTGTGTGTGTGTGTGTGTGTGTGTGTATGTGTGCGTGTGCGTGCGTATGCGTGCGTGCATGCGTGCGTGCATGCATGCGTGCGTACCTGCGTGGTGTGCAGGTGCAGCGTGAGATTGCGCAGGGGCGACTCGCGCAGGAAGCGGCCGAGGCGCGCACGCAACAGCATCGCGTCCGCGTCCAGCGACTCGGCAGTGGCTACGTTGCCCCGCGACATCCACAACACACCCTCTGCGCGCACACACACAATAAATTATAAAGTGCATGTGAACGTATAATGTTTATATGTTATAGAGCCATACACTAGAGGTTACACCATACTGAGCTATTTTTCAAAGAGTAGCCTTTGTTCAAATATACAAATAATGATATACCGTTATTGTAGTTTTTGAAAATACGAATAAATAAAGCTACCAAATAAAAGGCTTTTTTTCAAATCATCACCAGTATATCTATCCCAAGTGGTTCCCGTCTGAGATCATAGAAAATATTAAAAAAAGTACTTTCGTATTAGGAGATTTAAACAAGAAGGCAAATTATTTAACAAAGAACTGTCTAGCTTTTATCGATGGAGGGTTAAAACCTTAATTTACAACGCATATGAGCAGCAATTTAAGTTGATACAGGAAAGCATAATTGACGATCCGGTATTTTTTTGGAAATATGTTAGTGATAAAAAGAAAGAAAGACGAAATACTGAATATATAGTTATAAAGGTACAGAATTAACAGGTCAAGAAACGGCTAATGCGGCTAATTCACAAGTTAACGTGATGTCCATCTCAGTCAGGCAAGTAGACGAAAATGATTTTAGATTGGCCATAAGATGCCTAAAGCACGATCTGCTGGTGGCCCTGATCGCATTTCCGATTTCCTGATCAAGGATTGTGCGCCAGCTCTTCCGCTCTTATTTATTTTTAATCTGTCAGGCTAAATATCCAGAACAATGGAAACAATCTAGGGTGACATTCTTCCCAGGACAGAGGATTTTTTTCAAACCAGTGGTAAGGTAAAAGGCCGTATGGTAGCGGCGTAAGATCTACCATCCCTTAGGTCGCACCATGAGCCAAGAAGTAAAGGAAATGGCCCTGAGTTCCCGGCGCCCCTTTAATGGGGCAGGGGTGCGAAGAATCTCCGGGAGAAAAACCGGCGACGAGGTTCGCCACCTGTCACGTCCTGTCTCCCGGAGGGGCGAAAAGTGGATTGCGGAGGCCCGTCTGGCCACGCTGAATGTATGTGGAGCAATTAATGATAAGATGGATGAAATATGCGAAATGATGAATGATAGAGGAATAGATGTGTTATGTGTAAACGAGACGAAACGAAAGGGAAGAGATGTCACTGCACATGGCATGTATACCGCTTACTGGGCTGGTGTAGACGAGAAAGAGCGGGCATGCCAGGGAGTCGGTGTCATCCTTTCAAAAAGAATGGGTCAATGTGTGAAAGAGTATGAATGTGTAAGCCCAAGGCTGCTGTGGATATGAATGAGAGTGGACTTAAAGAAGTTGTTTGTGCTAGGGGTGTACGCCCCGGATATGTCTAAGCCCACTTATATCCCAGAGCAGTTTTGGGAAATGGTAAGGTGTTGTTGAAATGTAAGGAAAATGAAAAGATTATTATGTTAGGAGATTTTAATGAAAGGGTTGGGGTGAGGAGGTCTGGTTACGAAAAGATATTAGGAACGTTTGGCGATGAAAGTATAAATGAGAATGGTGAAGACCTCCTCACCGTATATAAAAGAATCTTTTTGTGACAAACACTTTCTTTCGCCATAAGAGGATTCACATGTATACATGGGAAAGAGGGGATGATAGTGTTCGACTAAGTAATGTATTTACTATAACTAGCTCTGTATTTGGTTATAGCGCTCATATTTCTTACTTTCATTTAGTGTCCAATAGATCGTTGAACAAACCATACGTGTTTAATTTTATAATACTATACCCAAGCAATACTCGACCTAATTCAAAGCAACAGATAGAAGCATGATAGATTTCATAATTGTGGATGAAAGAATGAGGAGCGCAGTGGTAGATACAAGGGTTTACCGGGGGTCCAACGTAGGGACGGATCATTACTTGGTCTTATGCCGAATTAATGGTCTATTCAAGGTTGGCGGCATCGGATATCTGTGTCTACCACTGCATTAGAGCGTATAAGATTAGAGGGGCTACAAGATGAAGGTGTAAAAGAGAAGTATAAATGTAGACTGAGGGAAAATATAAGTGGTTTGAATGAATTATGTATGAGTGATTTAGACTTGAAGACTGTATGGAATAATGTTAAGAAAGTTTTGGTGGATGCAGCCACCGAAGTATGTGGTGTAAGTAAGAGAACGAATGAAAGGAAAAGTAATACGTTGTGGTGGGATGATGAAGTACGGATGGAAGTTGAAGCAAAGAAGAGAGCATGGTTAGATTTACTAGCAACCAAAGCTGGTAATTCTAGCGGTATGAATGATGAGATTGAAAGAAAAAAGGCAGACTTTAGGCGTATAAATAAGAGAGTAAAAGAAGTAGTTGAAAGGAAAAAGCAAGAAAGGATGGATAAGAATGATAGAAGGATATCTGATAACTTCCAAGCAAATATTAAAATGTTCTGGAAACTCGTAACTGCCAGGGGAAATTCAAAACAGTCTACAATGAATGCTAAACGAGACGAGAATGGCTGCATGCTGAATGATGAAGTTTCGAATTTAGAGAGATGGAAGGAATACTTTGAAAGCGTGTTTAAGAGTGAAGAGTCGTCTGAAGTAAGTGAAATAGATATTCCGGAAGAAGTGGAGAGAGGTAGGTAGATAAGTGTAGATGAAATAATGAAAGCAACGAAAAGCATGAAAGCAGGTAAGGCAGCCGGATATGATAGAATATCACTCGAAATGCTAAGGGCTGGAGAGGGTATGGTTGCAGGCCTGCTGTGCACCTTGTTTAATTTATGTTGGGAACTGAAGCAGGTACCGGAAGACTGGTGCAAAGCCGTTATAGTCCCAATATATAAGGGAAAGGGCTCGCAGCAGGACTGTAAAAACTACCGTGGTATCAGCTTGCTTAGCATTGTGGGTAAACTATATGCTAAGGTGTTAATTGAAAGAGGTATGGAAGAAAGTGATGGAAAAATTTGAGATGTGCAAGCTGGATTTAGAAAGGGGATGGGGTGTACGGATTAGGTCTTTTCCATGCGCATGATAGCGGAGAAGTTTTTGGCCAAAAACCAGAAAGTTTTTTGTGCGTTCATAGACTTGGAAAATGCTTATGACAGAGTGGACAGGAATGTGTTATGGCAAACACTGAACTCACTTGGGGTGAACGCTGGCTTGATACAGGCATGAAGGTCTCTTTATTGGGACTCTAGTGCTTGTGTCAGGATCAACGGGGTCTACTCGGACTGGTTTGGCATTCATAAAGGTGTCAGACATGGATGTGTGGCTTCCCCGTGGCTGTTTAACCTATTTATGGACAGTTGTTTGCAAACTTTGAAAGTTGAAGAATGTGGGTTGAGAATGGGTGAGTTAACCGTCAAATGCCTTTTGTACGCCGATGATCAAGTCATATTTGCATCGTCGGCGGCCGAGTTGCAAATGATGGTTACTTTATTGAACTGGTCATTGAAAGAAAGCGGTATGAAAGTGAACGCAAGTAAGACGAAAGTGACGGTTTTTGAAAGAGAAGAAAGTAAAACGTTATGTGAAATAAGAATAGAAGGGGAGTTGATTGAGCAAGTGGATGAGTTTGTATATTTGGGATGTTTATTTAGCAAGGATGGTAGATATGATAAGGATATAGAACGACGAGTGAACGCAGGAAATAGAGTGAATGGGGCTCTACACACTATTATGAGGAGTCAGAATGTGTCAAATAAGGCACGTATGGCAATTCATAATGCTGTGTTAGTCCCTACTTTAATGTATAATAGTGAAAGTTAGTAATAGGCAGAAGAAGCATGAGAGTAGAATAAATGCTGTAGAAATGTGGTCCTTAAAGAGTATGCTAGGGCTGAATCTGAATGACAGGGTGAGAAATAGTGTGATAAGAGAAAAGTGTGGTTTGCAAGATGACGTTGTGACAAGGATTAAGAAAGGAATGCTTCGGTGGTTTGGTCATGTAGAAAGAATGAACGAGGAAAGAGTGACAAAGCAGATTTATGTTGCAGAAGTGAACGGCAAGGTCGGGAAGGGACGTCCTAGACGAAGGTTTATCGACCAAATCGGCGATACATTAAAAATGGGTCAGATTAGGAGTACCCATAACGGACTAGCGTGTATGCGTAGATATATGGATGTAAAGGAGGCGACAGAGGTGTGTCAGGATCGCACCAAATTGAAGTCCGTAGTCTCTGCCTACCTTTCTGGGTGACAGGCGTGAGTGTTTGTGTGTGTGGTAAGGTAAAGTAAAAAATGACTTTCAATAAGAATTAATTGTAATCAATATTGAATACAAAATTATTCTATTTTATTCTATGAATAGTTTATTGTTTCAATTGGCTTTATTGCAGTTTTAATTTCTTGACACGGGCTGCTAAAAGCTTCGAGATTTTATATTACTATTATTTTATAATTATTTAATTTATGATTATTAATTTTGCTTGTTATGAATTGATGCAATTTTTGAAAAAAAAATTTTGCATGTAAAATTTAACCTTGATGACGTATTGGATTTTCTGTGAGCCACAAGAGTTTTTGAATTAAATAAATAAATAAATACGAATCAAGTTCCCGCAAATGTAGTTTGAAAAAAACAATTGGTTACAAACGAATTTAAGATCGAAAAAAAATTGAATACATTTTTTTAATTTATTTATGTGTCCTATTTCGAAAACTTATTGATTAACCTAGTACTGGAAACGAGGCATTCCATCTTCGTCCTCAAGTGTGTCAACGTTAAAGCGTGGATGGGTCGGTTCCACCGGGGTGGGACCACGCGCTCACAGATCAAAAGCGTAAAATAGAAACTTAATGCTACTGTGTTTCGTATGGTGTGGTGTAGAGAAACGGAAACCCTATTTTACTGGATACGAGGAGTTTCATCTTAGTCCTCACGGGTGACGAGAAATCTGCATTTTGATTCTTGATTGAGGATAGATGGAGATGTCTATTGGCCACAGCATCTACTTCCCATCAGGTGGATTGTGTGCTCGTTTGTCACTCTTATCACCATATCATAACAGTAGCATGAAAATCCACATTTAAAAGGTGAAATTCACAAAACTATTGTCATCCAGTACTAAATAAATAATCGATTACGTATGAGAATGACAATCTACGTAAAATTCCAGATATCTGTAAAAAAAAATGATGAGCAGAAAACATTTGTAATAAAGCTAGGCGAACAGGACGTACCCGGTGAATCGAGATGAAGGCCGGTGTAGCAGTGCGGCTCGCACAGCCGCTCGGGCGCGTACTGCACGCGCCCCACCGCCTGCCGCCCCGCGCGCACCGCGCCCGCGCCCGCGCCCGCCGCCGGCCTGCGCACACCGCACCCGTCTGTACACTGCTACACTACGCAATATCTATATCGCGCAACAGACTAACTCTGCTGTACATATTAGATATACCGCGCAGTACAGCGTCACTTTACGGAACGTCTAACATACAACTCGAAGAAATAATAATAGCGTAAAATAGCTATGATGTGATAAACTGATTCAAATTTCGAACGAACCATGAGCGCGTGAAAGAATACGAGATATTCCGACTCTACGTTCTAGAATATACACGTTTCAGAGTATCATAGATATTAACCAATACCAGGCCTATCTCACTCCGCGTTTTAAGCATGAAAATATACCTACGCTGCGCGGCCGCCTACTCTTGTAGGCTAATTCAGTGAGTGTCATGCGTACACACTAGCTGGCACACGTCTTACGTTAACAAAAAGTATTTTTCTCTAAGAAGTATTTAGGCACTTTTGATATTTATTTTTGAGTTTTTATTTAAGTTTTTTTTTTTTTACTTAATATAAACCAATGTTTTATCACAATCCCACCTGGTGGTAAGTGGTAATGCAGCCTTAGATGGTAAACCACACTGTCTTAGCGTAACAAAAGCCTATTCACTCTTGCCTTAAAGACGCCCAGATTGTATTCGGACGGAAAGACAGACACCGGCAAATTATTCCACACCTTTGCTGTACGCATTACAGAAAACGAAGCAAACCGTTTGGTTCTAATGCGTGGAATATCGAAAACGAGTATGGACACTCAAAAAGCCAAAAGGTACTGCATAGCATACGGGTGCTTAAAAAACAATAGCCACGTCGACTATTCATTGTTTACTGTTTCTAAAGATATAGAATGGTAAGATACTATTATTTATAGGTATAGCTCTAGATAATTAGGTAACTAGTTACAGACGCCATACTTTTTTTTACGTGGTAGAGCCATGCTGCAGCTATATTAGTAGTATAGTTGTAGCACGAATGGTTCGGCTCGACCGGGGAAAAACCACGCTCTCACAGAATACCAGCGTAAAATAGCAGCTTAATGCTGCTGTGTTTCGTATGGTAATTGTAGAGAACCGGAGACCCTTTTTACTGGAAAAGAGGCATTCCATCTTAGTCCTCACTGGTGAAAACGCATCTGCGTTTTGATTCGCAAACGAGGATAGATGTAGATGTCTATGGGTCACAACAACCACTTACCATCAGGTGGACTATGTGCTCGTTTGTCACCTTATCCTATAAAAAAAAACTGCCATTTTATGTACAAATTATATACTTAAACAATCTAAAAAAAAATTTAATTAAAATTAACCTAACATCAATCATCATCACCCTAAATATTGACCCACTGCTGGGTCACAGGGCTCCCCTTATATCGAGGAGGTTTGAGCAGTAGTTCACCACGCGTCCCAATACGGATTGGTAGACGGAATACTAGATAATCAGTACTACTTTAAATTCCCTTAGTCGCCTTTTAGGGACACTCAAAGGCAGATATGGGGTGATACTATCCACTCTACAGGCATTACACAGCACATAACAGTAATTAAGTGTAAGTAGGTAGGTAATAGTAGGTAATACATTTAACCTACCTCACATTGAACAATAATGTTCTTATTATCAGCAAATTACTAATATATTGTCTGTGTATTCTACTACCAACTAATATCAAAGGCTTTAATTTGTTTTCTCACAATACCTAACCCTACAGTATGAGCGGCGTTAACAAAGGCGTGTAACGGACTAAGTGATACAGACTCGCACGCGAACGTAAGGTGCATTTTGCTTTATTACGCGCGCCGCAACGATCAATTGGCTATTTTAACGAAAGTCGTACCCGAGGCGTGCAAAGTATGAAAAATAAAAAATATTATGAATATTAATGACGTTGTAACTATATATATTGTTATAGGTTTGAACTCGCAAGTTGGCTATCAGAGTGACTCTTCTGTACTTGTATTATTATCTATCCTGTGCCAATACGTATTAACATACCTAGATATTACATCATCATCATCATTACAGCCCTTCACAAGTCCCCTATGGAACATAGCCCCCCCCCCCAAGGAATGCAAAGCACGGTCCTAGGCCACATGCATCCATCGACTTCCTGCATGTGTTATGAAGTCGTCACTTCATCAAGTGGGGGGACGCCTTACGTTTCGCCTGCCGGTACGAGGCTGCCACTCGTGAACCTTTATATCCCATCGGTTGTCGGTTCTTCAAGCTATATGGCCGGCTCATTGGCACTTAACCTTACTAATCATTGCAATTGTAATATCTAATCAACAGAGTAGATATTATAATATATCTATAAATCTAAGCAAACCAAATCTATCAAAAATCGCGTATCACCGTGTAATACGGAATACAGTCAGTTTTACAGTTTTACAGTCAGAGTTACAGAATCACGTAGATATCAACTGATACATTGATATTGAAATGTATAAATTCACTATCAGATATTCACTATCAAATAATACATAGATACGATTTGATATAGAGTAAGAATGGTATTTCCCACGGCTAACAGTTGCCGACGTGCAACTTCACACTTATACGTACTACTCGTGCGGACAAATAATAAGATTAGAAATGGCTATACTGTCAGCATACACAGTGCGTAAAGCGAAAGCGGTGCTTATAACGTAACATCGTCATATTACAATCTAGCTGACACCTGCAACTTCGTCCGCGTTGCTCGATACATTAACAAAGTTTTCGTATGTGCGAAGGAAAAAACAACAAAAACAGCGCAAGCAAAAATATACTTTGCTTACAAAATCGTTTTTTCTTAAAACTTTAATAACTTTAAAAATAAAAACTTTAAAATTAAAATTAAAGCAGATATCGCTATAATTATTTTTTTTTAGATAAGGGCCAAGTGTCTAAGAAATAAAACTTAGGAAACCTAATTGAGTCTATCCAGAGCTTTTCCGTGATGCGTGCACAACTGCAAACCTCTATAATTTTATTTATATAGATATCAATATTATATTCATTAAAACGTTTTGTTAGTAAATTATTTAATGATATTTGAAAATGTTTAGATATTGCAGAAAACTGAATTAGTAAATATATTAAACTCAACTGAATTATGTATTTAAATTATTAACTGAATATTAAATATAAAAAAATCCAGTCAGAAAGAGAGGATATGGTTGAGCGTTTGAATCTCACACTACAGGCAGTCTCCGAATGGGGCGATGCCAATCTCTTGAGATTTAACGACAGAAGCGTGTCTTTTCACCGCTAAAAGGAGCCGGCTCACCTTAGCTCCTACTTTCCGGAATGTATCCTTGGAGTACACTGATCGCTTTCAATTGTTAGGGTATGAATATCATCCGAACCTCAACCGGTCGTGCATGTGGAGTACTACTGTCATATATGGGCTGGTGCTGCAAAATGCCACCTGGCAGCGTTGGACTCAGTAGAGAGACGTGCTAAGAGGCTCATTGGTGACCTTTATTTGGTTGAAACCAATCTTGTCAGCCCCGAAAACAGGCGCAGAGTAGCCAGTTTCTCGGTATTCTATAGGATGCACTTCGGTGAGTGTGCGCAGGAATTACACGCTTTAATTCCTTCCTCTCCTTTCCACCATCGGACAACCAGGCGTTCGGCGGGTCTTCATCCCTTTGTTGTCGATATTCCACGCGTTAGAACCAAACGGTTCGCTTCGTCTTTTGTAATGCGTACAGCAAAGGAGTTGAATAATTTGCCGGCGTCTATCTTTCCGTCCGAATACAATCTGGGCGTCTTCAAGGCAAGAGTGAATACGCTTTTGTTACGACAGTGCGATTTACCATCTAGGGATGCATCAGCACTTACCACCAGGTGGGATTATGGTCAAGCACTGGCTTATAATAAGTAAAAAAAAATAGGGATGAAAATCAATAAACAAATTTGTTTTTGCTAATTTAATAATTGTTACTCGAGCCTGAAATTAGAAACACGAAAGAGCTTATCCCAACGCATAAATTATATTATTTTTAGTGGTTATCACTGGTGGTGGGTTTACGCCGGCAGTGAACAAGCGAGAGGTGCATACATAAGACGCCTTTTATTATACCATTTTTTATCTGCGCGAGTAGTACGTCAAGAACTCGCACTTACTTACATGTACGTGAGTGCCGGATCGGGGACCGGTTGCGTCACATTGGTCACGTACATTTCTAAATCCATAGTACTCTCCACCACGAGTTCAGTCGAAGACCACGCATACTGAAATTAAGACAAAATAATGTTGCAAAACTTAAAACGGATAATCACATTTTTTTTTCATCATCAACATCGTAATAACAAAAAAGAAATGTAACTAGTAAAATGTAACTAGTTCTATAAATTATTTACGAATTATATTCTCAAAGTCCCAGGTGCCTTCTAAAAGAACAAAATGAAGTTCATTATTGAGTCCTGGGTATTGCAAAGTAGATGTCATTAAAGCCGAATGTTCTTCATAAAGAACACAACAAATATCGTCATTAAGTCCTGAACGTTCACCTACCGGTTGCCATAAAAATTTTGCTAGAACTAATGTAAATATAAATCCATTTTATGAGAAAAAAATCCCCTTCATCATAAAATATAGGGGGACTGATTCAGAAGGATTTCTGTATCTATTTTGAGACTGCTACGTCTCAGGCGCTGCGGGAAGAGCAGCCTCTACGCCTTAGCGTAACAAATCGCAGGTATCCCTCCTCGCCTCCGCAGCTTCGGCTTGTCCGATGCTTACGACTTGTTACAGCAGGCGGAGGCTGGATTATGGGTAGGACAGACTCGTACCAGGTGGAGTCGGGGTCAATCAATTCGGTTCTTTGACATAAGTTGAACCTAACCTATTTTATTTGTTATCTGCCCTAATTGGTACTGTTAAAATAAAACAAATTTCAATAAGAGTATATTTCTTGTTTTTCATAAAATGGAATTATATTTACATTATAAATGCAAACAAAAAAATATTGATATTTTAGAAATCGATTTTTGTGAATCGATACAAGCTTACGATTTGAATCGATTTAAAAATCGACCTTTTTCGGAAAGAATCGACATCCCTGCTGACGACAATGACATTACAAAATGGCGTCAGTTTTATGGTAGGATTAGATATAAACAATGCAAGAATAATTGATTTTCAATAACTTTTTTGTCAAAAATTACGCGTTTCCGCATGTTGTAACTTTGTGTTTGTGCTTATAATAGTGTAACTTTTCTGTAAAAATACGTATCAACCCCCAACTCGACAGGAGTCAATGGAAAGCTATGCCTTTAATTTTATTAATTACAGGACCCCAAGCAGGTGGTAGTACCCAGCCTCCCTCTCTATTGAAATTAGGATGTTTTTAATTTCAATAGCCTCACGTATCATCCTTGGCAGGAATCGATGTTCTTTCGCGAGAATTTGTGGTTTATCAAATCCAATGTAATGGCTGGGGCCGTCTAGGATATGTTAACAAAAATAAGTTAATTAAACGCGATAGAATCCGTAAAAATAGTTTTATTAAACATTACTCATGTTTTGTCAAAATGTTATAAACCAGATATTACGTATATATATTAGTCAGTAAAAAACAATAGTTATTTTTATAAAAATACTAATACACCATTCGGTCGTAATAACCAATTCGTCGTTATAAACGATGTCGTTATATTCGGTTTCGACTGTATTTATATTAGAGAGTTATGGATTTACTCACGTTGTTTACGAGGTGCCGTCATTGTCACCCATTCGTGGCCGCTGACAATAAATATGGTGACTTGCTTTCGGTTTACTCAATGCGTGTTACAGGGACAAATATATAACTATTGAAATAACGCCGTTTCTTTCTAAAGTTTTGTCGTAATTTAAAAAACCGAATATGTTCTATTCATAGAACGTTCGGTCATAATGATATCTCTCATTCCGGGATTGTCAGGACTTAACAATGGCTGCTATTTCGTTCTATGGACGAAAGTTTGGTCTTTATGACAACTATAATATTTCAAAAGCCCGGGTCTTAGGAGGATATAAATAAAGATTCTACAGGAAATTATTGGTTTGTTCACTTAGAATAACGGTGTTCACGTGCTGTGAGCAAGGAATATGTAACTCCGTAGTGCAGTGACACAGAAAAAAAAAACTAGGCTTTATAATATGATGTGGTCTTATAAACACTCACTAATATTTGTTATGTTATACGAATTTTCTCGTTACCAATCTCGCAGGCTCATAAGGTCATGGTAAGGCTAACAGTGTCTTGGTTACAGTGTAAGGAATGGAGGTTTTAGTAAACAACTTAACTATTTATAATAATTAATATATGTAAGATAAATAAAAACACTAGTTAGTATTTATTTGAAGGCACATGAACATCCCGTTATAGCAATGAGTGTCGACTCCATGTTGACGTCACGTGTGTACGTGCGTGTACAAGTTTCTCTGTCCGGTCACAGCATGAAGTTGCATACTGTATGATGACGTCACGTATACGTGCGTGTGTAAGTACGTGCGTGCATATGCCCACGTGTGTGCGTGTGCGTGTGCGTGTACGTACGGGCGCGGCGGCGGGCAGCAGCAGGGGCTGCGCGGCGAGGCGGCCGGGCAGCGCGCGCAGGCGCAGCGGCACGCTGCTGGCGGCGTGGCGCGTGCGCACGTGTGTGTGCGTGTGTGCGTGTGCGTGTGCGTGTACGTACGGGCGCGGCGGCGGGCAGCAGCAGGGGCTGCGCGGCGAGGCGGCCGGGCAGCGCGCGCAGGCGCAGCGGCACGCTGCTGGCGGCGTGGCGCGTGCGCACGCGCAGCTCGCCGCGCACGTCGCCGCCGCGCGCCGGCGCCACCACCGCCAGCCACGCCTCCGCCGTCTCGCCGCCCTCCACGCACCGCTGCAACCACACCTCACTTCTCAGTCACGCGCGAAACACGAACACGAAACGCAATAGACACACACGTTTGAAATAAAACTTATTTTAACTTTTTTATTCTCAACGTTTCGGCCACTACAGCACCCGCATTCACGGGGGAACGGAGGTGTTTAATATCCTTAACTCACACATACCAAATAAACCAATAAACTAACATTAACACATATACTGTTATAACAGTATCGATCGATGACAGCGACAGTTAACATATAGACTCGGATATGAACCGATATGCATATTGTATGAAAGCGAGCGGCCTATGTTGGTATACAAATCCAAAACAACACGACCTTTACTATAATAATTTTGAAGTTTTAAAATAAGTAAATAGTAATAATATTATTTAAAATTACTTAAATGTGAAATATTTGTGTAAATTCGTCGTAGCATATCTGTTTTTGCAGCGGGCAGCTGCGCACGCAAGCTGCACCAGGCGACACTAGGTGTGTACGTGTGCGTGTGTACTGACGCAGGGGTGGTCCGGCGGCGGGTCGCGGTGCTGCGCGCAGGCGTGCAGCGCCAGGTGCGCGGAGGCGGCGGCGGCGGGCAGCAGCGCGCGCAGCTCGCGGGCGCACAGCACCAGGCGACACTAGGTGTGTACGTGTGCGTGTGTACTGACGCAGGGGTGGTCCGGCGGCGGGTCGCGGTGCTGCGCGCAGGCGTGCAGCGCCAGGTGCGCGGAGGCGGCGGCGGCGGGCAGCAGCGCGCGCAGCTCGCGGGCGCACAGCACCAGGCGACACTAGGTGTGTACGTGTGCGTGTGTACTGACGCAGGGGTGGTCCGGCGGCGGGTCGCGGTGCTGCGCGCAGGCGTGCAGCGCCAGGTGCGCGGAGGCGGCGGCGGCGGGCAGCAGCGCGCGCAGCTCGCGGGCGCACAGCACCAGGCGACACTAGGTGTGTACGTGTGCGTGTGTACTGACGCAGGGGTGGTCCGGCGGCGGGTCGCGGTGCTGCGCGCAGGCGGCGGCGGCGGGCAGCAGCGCGCGCAGCTCGCGGGCGCACAGCACCAGGCGACACTAGGTGTGTACGTGTGCGTGTGTACTGACGCAGGGGTGGTCCGGCGGCGGGTCGCGGTGCTGCGCGCAGGCGTGCAGCGCCAGGTGCGCGGAGGCGGCGGCGGCGGGCAGCAGCGCGCGCAGCTCGCGGGCGCACAGCACCAGGCGACACTAGGTGTGTACGTGTGCGTGTGTACTGACGCAGGGGTGGTCCGGCGGCGGGTCGCGGTGCTGCGCGCAGGCGTGCAGCGCCAGGTGCGCGGAGGCGGCGGCGGCGGGCAGCAGCGCGCGCAGCTCGCGGGCGCACAGCACCAGGCGACACTAGGTGTGTACGTGTGCGTGTGTACTGACGCAGGGGTGGTCCGGCGGCGGGTCGCGGTGCTGCGCGCAGGCGTGCAGCGCCAGGTGCGCGGAGGCGGCGGCGGCGGGCAGCAGCGCGCGCAGCTCGCGGGCGCACAGCACCAGGCGACACTAGGTGTGTACGTGTGCGTGTGTACTGACGCAGGGGTGGTCCGGCGGCGGGTCGCGGTGCTGCGCGCAGGCGTGCAGCGCCAGGTGCGCGGAGGCGGCGGCGGCGGGCAGCAGCGCGCGCAGCTCGCGGGCGCACAGCACCAGGCGACACTAGGTGTGTACGTGTGCGTGTGTACTGACGCAGGGGTGGTCCGGCGGCGGGTCGCGGTGCTGCGCGCAGGCGGCGGCGGCGGGCAGCAGCGCGCGCAGCTCGCGGGCGCACAGCACCAGGCGACACTAGGTATGTACGTGTGCGTGTGTACTGACGCAGGGGTGGTCCGGCGGCGGGTCGCGGTGCTGCGCGCAGGCGTGCAGCGCCAGGTGCGCGGAGGCGGCGGCGGCGGGCAGCAGCGCGCGCAGCTCGCGGGCGCAGAGGCGCGCGGCGCCCGGGTTGCGCAGCCGCAGCAGCACGCGCCGCGACGCCGACGTGCCCAGCGCGCCCAGCGACACGCCGCCATCCGCACTGCCCCACGGCCACTCCCACTCCTATACGATATGCAATATACATTATAAATTATGCTTATTCACACTCATTCTTACGTTTAATTTACCACTAATTCAAGAAATACCTTTATCCTGGAAATATCCAGCAAAAAACCCAGTAGAACAGTTTTTTAAAAACTACGAAAAGAAAATGGCAAATGTTTGATAGCAATGATCACATTTCCTAGAGTTATTATAATCATCTAGTAATTCCTTAATATTATACTATTAGAATAAATAACAAATTTACCACTCAGATCCCAACATTGTATGAGACCTTCTCTGTCAGACCTGTGGTCAGGCCAAGGTTAGTAATATATATTTTTTTTGCTTCGCTAAAAAACTCTGTCAGAAATACAGACATTTTGCAGAGAACTACGTCAACTTCACAAATCGATGTGGTACTTGACAAACCGTGTAGAAAGCGCTGTTACAGAATTAACCAAAAAAAACTATTGGTATATCCAATTTTGAATGCCTTAAGCGCATTAAAAAAATAACGTATAACATGATTATACGTAGAATTTTAAAGTAGTAAAAAAATGTATATATAAAATTCTAGTTCTATTCAACAAAGAGTTCCAGTAGCAGTCACCAACGTACATCTTCAAGTCACTCCATCAAGTCCCGAGGTATGGTTTATTCTTAACTAACAAAACGAGGCCCAACTAGGCACATCTATTTCTACTCTTCGAGGAGTTCCAGTAGCAGTCACCGAAGTACACCTTCAGGTCACTCTATCAAATCCGGAAGTAAGGTCTCATCATAACTGACAAAATGAAGCCAAACTCAGCACACCCAGTTCTACTCTTCGAGGAGTTCGAGTAGCATTCACCGAAGTACACCTTCAGGTCGTTCATAAAGTCCGAAGGTAAGGTCTCATCATAACTAACAAAACGAGGCCAAACTCGGCACATCTAGTTCTACTATTCGAGGAGTTCCAGTAGCAGTCACCGAAGTACACCTTCAGGTCACTCTATCAAATCCGGAAGTAAAGTCTCATCATAACTGACAAAATGAAGCCAAACTCAGCACACCCAGTTCTACTCTTCGAGGAGTTCAAGTAGCATTCACTGAAGTACACCTTCAGGTCACTCTATCAAGTCCGGAGGTAAGGTATCATCATAACTAACCAAACGAGGCCAAATCGGCACATCTAGTTCTACACTTCGAGTAGTTCCAGTAGCATTCACCGAAGTACACCTTCAGGTCACTCTATCAGTCCGGAGGTAAGGTATCATCATAACTAACCAAACGAGGCCAAATCGGCACATCTAGTTCTATACTTCGAGTAGTTCCAGTAGCATTCACCGAAGTACACCTTCAGGTCACTCTATCAAGTCCGGAGGTAAGGTCTCATCATAACTAACAAAATGAAGCCAAACTCGGCACACCTAGTTCTACTCTTCGAGTAGTATTCGCCGGAGTACACCTTCAGGTCACTCTATCAAGTCCGGAGGTAAGGTATCATCATAACTAACCAAACGAGGCCAAATCGGCACATCTAGTTCTACACTTCGAATAGTTCCAGTAGCATTCACCGAAGTACACTCTCAGGTCACTCTATCAAGTCCGGAGGTAAGGTATCATCATAACTAACCAAACGAAGCCAAATCGGCACATCTAGTTCTACATTTCGAGTAGTTCCAGTAGCATTCACCAAAGTACACCTTCAGGTCACTCTTATCAGTCCGGAGGTAAGGTATCATCATAACTAACCAAACGAGGCCAAACTCAGCACACCTAGTTCTACTCTTCGAGTAGTATTCATCGAAGTACACCTTCAGGTTACTCTATCAAGTCCGGAGGTAAGGTATCATCATAACTAACCAAACGGGGTCAAATCGGCACATCTAGTTCTACACTTCGAGTAGTTCCAGTAGCATTCACCGAAGTACACTCTCAGGTCACTATATCAAGTCCGGAGGTAAGGTCTCATCATAACTAACAAAATGAAGCCAAACTCGGCACACCTAGTTCTACGCTTCGAGGAGTTCGAGTAGTATTCACCGAAGTACACCTTCAGGTCGTTCATCAAGTCCGGAGGTAAAGTATCATCATAACTAACAAAATGAGGCCAAACTCGGCACATCTAGTTCTACTCTTCGAGGAGTTCCAGTAGCATTCACCGAAGTACACCTTCAGGTCACTCTATCAAGTCCGGAGGTTAGGTATTGTACAGTCTCAGACTCAAACCACATTATAGTTTGTAAATTTTTCGATAGATGGCGTTGCACATAGTTCTGTCGCGCTAATAAAGTTTGTTGTAAGATGCATATATCAGTGTACTATGTAAAATTAATTGTACCTATGGAGTACCTTTTGGAATATACCGTTGGTGTACAAGGTTGCCTTTTTATTGACTTCCCTTGTAACACCCTCGAATTCGACCTAGCCACCTACTGGGAGTTAAACATGGTCCATTCGAGCCGGATCTGGGATAAGCTCATCTCCCTTCCGGAAGTCGTCTCAGCGGTGGCGCATTTTTTGGAGCATTAAGGGAGGTACCCTGGAAGAGGAGTTTCCAGCTTCAGGAGTCGGAGCTGTTGCAGCAGGGGTCCGAGCTTGGTGGTGAATCCGGCTTTGGATTTCGGGACAATCTCGGCCGATGAGTACCATTAGGAGGAACTATCAGGAGCCAGGGTCGAGCTGGTGTGAGACAAGGACGACAAACAAGGTTGACGTCACAAGTGAGTGAGCGGGACAACAACAGTGAGTGTTTGAACATTTTCTATGTTTGAAAGTTAAAGGAAATTAAACCTTAAATTCTAAAGAATATTTACTTGGATGATTAGTAAAGATACTGCAGTGAGAAATTGTGGACTTCTTGGAGTGGGAGAAATTCTTGCTTTTTTGCTGACTTCGAAAATTTTTAGCTATTTGGTACTTAGAATAATTTAGTGATAGTTTACATTAACTTAGTTAGATTTTAAGAATATTTGGTTGAGACGGGGAACCTATGCCCGATTTTTGTCAAAGTTGTTGTTTTTAAAACACTTAGAAATTGTTCTGTGAAATTAAGACTTAGAAAAACTCGAAATTGATTGAATTTTTAATATTTGGCTTAAGGAATTGATTGCTTTACACAAAATTTTAGCAAGGTTTTAAACAGCTGTAGTGTTTTCGTGCTGCCTTGAGCTGATAAATTACTTTAGTTTATATTTCTCGCTTTGAAAAATTTTAAACTTATTGGCCTTTTAAATTTATTAATTTACAATAATGGAATCTGAAATAAATGTACAAGTTGATATTTATGAAAAACTTGCCAAGGCTAGAAACAATTTCAGGAAGTCTCCAAAGGACCGTATAACAACAGTTTATTGTCAGACCAGATTAGAATCGTTAGAAGTGTTATGGACAGAATTTACTCAAACATACAAATCATTAGTAAAAAATTATAAATCTAAATTAAAAGAACATGAGTACTGTGAAAAAGATTTTTATGGACAAACAGAAGAAGTGTATATAGATTATAAAACGGAATTAAAAGCTAAAATTGAGACATTGTCTGATAGTTCTCCAAGTGGTCAACTTAGTAAGTAAGCAGAAGACAAAAATTCAGAAACTTTTAAATTGCCAAAGATAATAATTCCCACTTTTTCAGGTAAATATACCGAAGGGATCACCTTTAGAGATTTGTTTTTGTCCATGATCCATAAGAATTCAAAACTTGACAAAGTACAAAAATTGCACTATTTAAAGAGTTCTTTGTCTGGAGAAGCAGAACAATTTCTCAGACAAATCCCAATTGCAGAGTCAAACTATGATTAGTGCTGGGAACAATTGAAATCTCGTTATAATAATAAAAGATATTTATCTCATTTTATTTTGAAACGTTTATTGAGCCAGAAAAATTTAACAGTAGAATCTTCGAGTAGTTTAAAGGAATTAATCGATACTACCAATGATTGCCTAAATGTTTTAAAAAATCTAGGTATCAAAACGGATAATTGGGACATAATTATAATACATATTCTATGTTTGAAGTTAGATCCTGAATCTAGAAAGCAATGGGAGTTCAATGTTACTGATAATACTCAATCTGAGGAACTACCCACATTCAAACAATTTCAGGAGTTTCTTACTAATAGATATCGAGCACTTGAATTGTTAGATACTAAGGTTGGATTAAATAAGTACCAACCAAGTACATGTAATAATAATAATGTGGTTAAATTTAAAGCTCATCATGTAACGAAGATCCAATGTCTATTTTGTTCCGATGCTCACAAATTGAGTGCTTGTAAGAAATTTGCAAGCCAAACTGTTGACCAACGTCGAGATTTTGTTCAGTCTAATAGTTTATGTTATAATTGTTTAGGAGCCAATCATGGGGTGAAAGCGTGTAAGGTTAATTTTAAATGCAGTTTGTGTCATCGTCGTCATCACACAGTCCTTCATCCAAAGGGAATCGGTAGGGCGCGAGTTAATGCTGATGTTGTGTAGGTTGAACCAGAGGTATCGTCTAAGGGATCAGGGTCAGGGCGTATTATAGAGGCAAGTATAGATAATTCTTCAGCTTTTGTAGCCTGTAATTTTTCTGGTGGTAAAAACCAAGTGTTGTTGGCCACAGCATTGGTCAGTGCTGAGGGTAATAATGGCCAAGGACTTGTTTTGGGAGCTCTATTGGATCAGGGCTCTCAGGGTAATTTTGTGACAGAAGCAACTGTCCAGAGCTTAAAGTTGAAAAGAAAATATATTCGAGGTACTATAACTGGAGTTGGTAATAACCAAGAAATTTCCAAAGCATTAGTCACTCTAAAGGTTAAATCCAGGATTGAGGCAAATGCGGTATTTACGGTACAGACATATGTTCTGAAATCAATTACCTCTTTCCTTCCGGGGAGGAAAGTGAAGAAATTGGCGTTTTCAGAGTTTGAAGGAATTGACTTTGCAGATCCTGAGTATAATCGGCCTAATAGAATTGATTTATTATTAGGTGCAGAAATTTATAGTCAAATTCTTCAGGAAGGGATTCGCAAAGTACCTAGTGGTTCAATCGT